CGTTCCAGCAGGTAACCTTCAGCTCCTGTGCAATCCCACATCCGCATGCTGCGCGGTGAAGATATGCTAAGAAATGGAACAAAAACGAAACTTCGTGTAGGCGGACGGAGACGCACGTGCTGATGTACATGAAGGAAAAAACCCACATTTCCGCACGACAGCATACAGAACCCAGACTGAGCCTAACTTTGTATACCGAACTGATTCGGCAACAATCGTTCTGAAAATAGTCTCAAAACCTTACAGAGATCCCACTGACTTGCGGTTAAGCCGCAGTTTAATTATTGTGGTGTTTGACCCGAAGATAGTATCTGAAGACAGTGTGCATCCAGGAAGAGTGCGAACTAGGTCGGTCTTAATTTTTATTGCAGTATGCGGGGTAAACTGTTGTCAGCAATGTTAGCTTTCAAGATAAAAGCGTTGCAGTTACTCGGGTTGTAAGAAGTCCTTGATTAATGGCACTTCATAAATATGCATCCGCAAAAGTATATGCCTCATCACACGTGGTAGAGGTTTTCGATCTACATCATCCAAAAATGGTGGATTCGTTAAACTGGACTGGGAGAAAGTTCATAAAAACAAGATAGTCTACTTGTTTTTATCGCAGGGAAATCATGCAATTCCCTAACTTCCATAACACAATGCAATATCTGCGTTCTGCATGGGTCGATAGCACATCACACAAGGACAGTTGTTTGACGACAGCAAGCCTCGTTTCTCCATCATGGTCAACATGTCAAACTCCGGTTTACTCCGGCTACTTATGAATAGTCAGACTTTCATGCAGGTGCATATCCCATTATCGGCTTTGTTCCTTGGACAGTTAGTGGTTATCCAGCAAGTATTGCTATCGACTCCATGTATAAATGATCACACTTTTTCATTTGGTAAGCTGCCGAAATGTCAGTAGATCGGGTGAGTTTGCTGGTTGTTCATCAGGTACCTGCTGATCTGTTCGCAGAGTTTGGCAACCGACTTGTAATTGTTCCCCAAAATCCGTCGAGATATTATCATCACGCATTTGATTGAGTACATCCTGCTTGCTCGCGTGCTTTTATGCAACAATTGCAGGCTATCTGTTATCTCCCAATGCTATTGTGTTTTAGTGACAGCGTTTTTCGTGAATTTATTCGTACGTTCGTGAACCTTGTTGTGTTGTGATCCGCGTTCATTCGAGTTGACTGGTTATCATAATGCCCTCGAAGTTTGGTAGATTTTTCTCCCAATTTTATTGGCTACGTTTCTTAATTTGCATTACAATATGGCCTGATTTACAAGAGATCCTTTGGCTCATCGCATCCAACGTTCATTTTTGTGTATTAGTTTTTTGAGTGGACGCCTCCTCCAATCTAATCAACGTATTTTTTCGAGTCGGGTTTCGTGCTTCTTTTGCGTGATCCTCGTATATTTGTTTATGCAGTTCAGACCTCTGTAGTTCTGGCGTACTCTTGCTCTTGGTGGTCGATAAATAAGAGCAGTTTCTATTTGTTTGTTGATAACGTTTTTCGTGGAGCAATACACTTCCAATAATGCATGTTCTTTCTTTTTTCCTGGTTAGGCCGATCTGCGAACGCCTCTCCAGTCGAAATTATGTCTTTCGCGATCTTGGTGCACGGATGTAAGGGAAAATTGATGGTATAATTTTGTGGCGGGCGTCTTTTCAGGTATTGTGTTGGAAAGCTTCCTTTCCGTTGTCTTATACATCGTTTGTCACAGTCCACGAACTGGGTCGTGTATATGACACTGTTCCGCACAGCATTCGCAGGCTTCCGAACCATCCTCGTCTTGCGCTGTCGTAAAATGTTAGGCGTCATTTAGGTGATGTTCCAGATATGTGGCTGTGTGACTCGTTTGCTTTTATTTCATACTGCTCCTTTAGTCGTGTGATCCCCAGGTGAAATTTCTTGGAGATTATTTCTTTAAAACATTTTTTACAGGCGCTTTTCTTCCTTTCTGTTGGATTCCGTCACCTGCGTATCCCGATCCGCTTGAAAAGTGAATAAATACGGCTTTGTTTGGATGGTTAACAGTTAGGTCAGAATTCGATCCGTATGCGTCGCTTGTCTGTAGATCTCAGTTTGTAGATGTCCGTTCAGCGATCCGGCGATGAGGACTTCCAGAAACGCTATTTTTCCGTTTTTCTCATATTCCACTGAGAAGACGATATCGTCAATAACGTTGTTTAACGAAGCCACCCTCCCCATCATCCATTTTAAAGTTACTAACGGGTTCACTAGCACTTCAGCCCTTGCTGCAGCCTTGCGTCGAATTACTACCGATTCGGGAACCGATGCAAAAAAATGTCACCAACGCATAGGCGAAACTTCCGGAAGTCTGAGACATCTTCCATAAGTGCTATTTTTTATGCAATTCTTACGTCTCTATCGTACAGCGTTTATGAAAAATTTATGCCTAGATTGTCAGGGATAATGAAGGGTTCAGGAACATGGTACAAGAGATGGCGCTGAGCGCCGAATAACGAACGACGGCGCCATCGGTTGGTGTTGCTACCAGCCTTGCATGGGGTCGTACCAGCCCCCTATGCGGGGTATACAGCCTCTGTCTCTCTATCAATATCCGGAGTGCAGATCGGCTGCAGCTAGTGCCGGTCCATTCCACAGTACGCACACATGCACGCACCTAACCAGCTTTCTAACGCGCATCCCGTTGGTGCGCGTAGTGCGCATGCGAAAAGACCTTCGGGACTAACCGCATTTTCTATTTGTTCGAGCTTAGTTTTGGCTTTATTTGTGTGAAGGTCAGATCTAAGCCTGGCTCGTTTTCTCGCATAAAAGCTGTTCAAAGCGCAGCATATTTTCAGTATGCTGTGTGCAACTCGCGTGGATGACTTCTAAGAATCCGGTTGAACGGTGTACGGGTTGTTCGACAGTTGTTCTCGTTAATGGAGGAGCATTTATATGAGTCAGATGTTTCCTTTCACGCAATTTAGCCAAACGATCGTGTACATCATCTGAATATTTACGCAGCTATTCAGGCAGTTTGTGTAGACTGCATGAGGTGCTGTTTTCTACGGCACTTCTGAAAGGGAAATGAATTCTACGTTTGTCTGCCTGGCATGGTCATTTAGAATTCGGAAATCATCGGTCAGTGAAGTGTCACCTAGAGCACCCAAGCTATCCAACTACTTGCTGGTGAATGAATCCTGTGCGATGAATTATGTTTTCGTTCTGTGAGCGGTTCTGCTCACAATCAGCAAACCAAAAGACCTGTCTTCCTGCTATATTTTTTATGTCGAGTCACTTTCCGTCTGTTGCACATCCCGAGATAACTCCTTATTGTCCCGGCTGCTCGCACCATTGTTTTGTTTAATTTCGACATGGTTCGTTAAGCCAGCCGGTCTAAACACCTCCTCAGTCTCGGACATGTACCAGGGAGAGTGCTAAATCATCGTCCATCCTATCACCTCCGGGCACGGCCGTCCGGTTACATCCGGCTTACAAAGAGTGACGTCGTCTAATGCAGTTGGGTAACTCGTGCAAGCCCGGTGTTGCTTGTTTATGCCATGCAGCGGAGAATCAAGCCCTTAAGCAGAGGTTCAATCCTGAGTTTGAATTGGGGACTCATCAAAGCTGTGGGAAACTGTAAATGACGAACGCAATGAGTGTGGAATACTCAAGTCCATGCGTTTGGCTGAAATCGGCCGCAAAAATCGCAAACCCAGGTGGACAGGTGTTCCACAGAGAAACGACGGGTAATTTGTGCGCACGTAGACCCGTATGGGTAAATAATGGTCGTTGTGCGTTAGCTTTGTTAAGGGGCTGCATTAAATTGGTGGCGGGCTAGTCCAAATGATGCTGTTCTAGGTGTTAACAGCAGACTGATGATCAGAGTGAAAAACATGCATGCATTTCACTCTGAACCACAAATGAGATGATAAATCAGTTGAGTGAGCTAAATGGCATATTTGTCTGCATAATTCTGACACGAAGATAGGTCCACTTGCCCTACTTATTTAACGAAAACTAATAACTACGACCCCTACATTTATAGGATTCAGAGACCAAAACAAGGAATTCCTACCAATATAAATATGGCTTGCGAACGAAGAGCTGAGACTCAATAAACTGCACTGAACCACTGAGCTGGATTCACTCAGTGGTTTGTAGCTACCACCTGTTTTGCTATGGTACTGGTCACGTGAATAATTACTCCTTTTCAAATGCGGAGCGATAAATGCTCGGCTACTCTCCCGAGTTGTGCGAACTAAACAGTTCTGGAATATCAAGGTTGATTAATCGCAGTGACACCAATTGCTTGAGATAAAACGGTCGAATGAAGACCAAACGGTGCATTATGGCCTCAAAAGTGTGATAAAACGTTGTTAACGCCTTTATCGACGCTCAAAACACAGAGACCAGCTCACCAGTTGAGCTTGGATCACATGTATTATCATAAGTTGGGAGCTGTGAATGAAGTGGTGTGATATTTATTCTTGGTCTGATTCTATCCGGTATATTTATGTCTGACGTAAAAAACAGTGTAGCGAACAAAGGCAATGATTGCAACTTTGTTTGAGTTGTGCCAATGACACTGATGATAGAAAGTTCGAAAATTTTTAGCATCACAATTCCAGCTTCACTTTTCCCAAAGAAGGATATGTTTACCTCTCTTTACTTATTACCTAACGGGATGAATGAATTCTACGGAAACGTTCTTTGGAAACCTACTTGGCCAGATAAACATACGAAGTTAGCCAGTTTTGTTTCACCGAAGGTTAAATGCAGAATCGTACTTGTCTGTATGGAAAAACATCAAAGATTGTCGTGTTGAACAGATTATTTGGTTGATACCTGGAAGTATAATGGCTACTTCGGTGGACTTCCAGAAGGAACACAGGAATGCAATAACGGATGTGCCACGAAGATTGCATTGCCCGCTGATGTCTTCCGTAAACGATATGGCTTGAAAATTATCAAGCCAGAAGCTCAACAGAGCCTTTGGAAGCATGCATTGCGCAGCTGAACCACTTCTGATCTTCTCTAGCCGTCCAGTATTGCGATAAATTTTAAAGGGCTAGCTTTCTTGTGTAGCCACCTTGCATGCATACATATACTACATTGCAAGCACAACAGTTTTGTGTAAGCGGGTGTCGGGAAATGGTTTGGTCTACTAAAGAGATTGTATCGACTATCAACTGCCTGATCATTGTAAATTTTTAACCGTGGGATAACTAGGAACTAGCGACACTGCCATCCGTCGTATCAGTACAATTTAGTCCAGAGTGCCTTGCTCGACAAATTCTCTATCCGCTTTCCCGGTCCGGATTTCGTGTGGAGCAGCTTTTCTTACAGTTCTTTGTCCTACACAAACAGACACTTTGTTCACGCTTAACCAATCGCTGTCGTTTGTGTGAACACTGGATCAAAATTCAGTTGAAGAACTGACGAACCAATGACAGCCGTTAGCCAGTCACATCAAACTTTCAATATAACGCTGCGTTATTTAGTTCTAGCTGTTGCTGTTATTGGTCTACCTTGGTATATTCATATTTTTAGAGGCTGTTTGATGAATAGAATTCTGATATACCTGTTTTTGAACAGGTATTCCGGGTATATTATGTGACCGAACACAGCAAATATATGAGAAACTCCAGTATGTGTAAATTCTACATCGTTCCCTTCTACTCATAAATTAGGCCTTCAAAACAAAACGAAAATATTTGAGGTGGTTTGAGAATCGAATCCAATGTCAGAACCTTTTAGTGCGTCATGTTCGATTTCTATAAGCCACCTAATAAAGTATATACTAACTCTTCAAATTGAAAGTGAAGGTAAGTTGATAATTGGGTGAAAAACGGCAATGCCTATGATTTTTAGTTAACGCTATGATTCCAACAGAAGTCGAGCTTGTAGTCGCTTGTGAGGCGATAATGTTTCAATGTTTCGAGCCGGATTAGCGATCGGCTTCGTGAGCACCCATCAGCCGCAGAAAGCCAAAGTGGACTCTCAATTTACTGCAACTGATTTCCCCTTTTGTAAGCTTTGTTTCGTTCTGCTGACCGATTTTATTCAAAGTTTTCCTTCTCTGTACAATAGCTTAACTTGACTAACTTTACTTTTCCATTTATGGATCCATCCCTTGCGTTATGGAGGCTGATGTGCCAAGAGAACACATGGACCAAATCGCCGACTACACTTTTCTAAAAAGTCCTCATGCTGTACCGTTCTTGCAAGTCCTCAAATGCACCAATCTGACTTTTCCGTTGCATTCCAGTATCAGTTACTTATTAAAAGGCCAGCTGTAATTGCGCAACTGAGACAACAACTGTGATTATAATCAGCTTGGGTTGGTTACCAGTCCATGTGAGAACTGAAAGCACTTGTTTTACCCTAGCGTGCAAATGACCCATCTCTGAGAGTAAATTGAAGCTCACATTGAGTTTGACTGAATCTAAAGCACCGTCCTCTCAACCTTGCAAAACAATTTTCAAATGCGAAAAATACACTCATTTGCAAATCAATTTGGTTTTCACGGGATACTCGATCGATACTCTGGTTTATGACGATTTTCAACTGAAGAAGAGTTCTCAGCAACCTTTTGAGTAATTTTCTTTATCAAAATTTTCAAATGCATTTGTCTGACAGACTCGGTGACATGCATTTTGATCTCGTTTAAGATGAGACTGCTTATTAGACTCCAATGTGATTGTATTCTTTTGTAAAGCAGCCTGCAGGTATTTTGAATCCATATACAGTCGGATTGCTCCTGACATTCCGAGGTTACCACGATTCCTTCACTGGGTCCCTGGAACAACTACGCTCGCAATAACGCCTATACTTTGACAGGGGATCCAGGCAAGCCTTCAACACCTTGCTCAGTGCAATCGAGACCCTTCTTACTGAGTACGCAATAAAGTGGACACTGTATAGTAGGAAAAAATTAACCTCTTCTTAGATACATTCCAATGCTCGGGCAAGAGCAACGAAGCATTTTTTAAAATAACATAGTTTGTGTAATTTGTGGTAAAAAATTTTGACTTATGTATGGCTGCGAACGAGTGAGTTCCAGGGCAGTCTGCATGCATTATTAAGAGGGCGAATTTGATGGGTACCTGCTAACCGGAGTTGTCAGGGTTTTTTGTAGTTTGTTCGTCAACGTGGCTGGCTGTTAACTTCATCTTATTTTTGCCTACACTCACTGTAGCTCCGGAATCGATCCGGAACTTGTGTCGCACCCTACTGATAATGAAAGTAACTCATACTGCCATCGTATAAGCGTCTGGCTGAAGGTCATTAAGTGAGCTCTGGTTCACATCAGTCTGCGGAACAGAGGTAACAGGAGTGGGACGGCATTGCCGTACGAAATTGTTCATTTGTGTGCACGCTTTTTGTCAGGCAGGACGTTTAGTTGCATGGACTGATGTTTTATTCTGCGAAGGTTCCATAAGCTTAATCTGGTTTTCATTGAAGGTTTCATCCCTGGCTTTGTGGTGTCAAACGATGCATGGAGGTTTCAGTAGCTACCGTAATTCTACGAATGTTGAGTTGTTGCGAAATGGTAATTCAGTAAACCACTTGAAATATAGTGGTCGCTAATCGTGAGCGTATTGCTTCAAACCGTGTGATTAATATTACGAGAGCTTGAAAATGGCATGATTCTGCAAGTTCTCATAGAGCGGTCATGTATTCAAAGTTGGATCCAGTCTTAAAACGCCGTCACAGATTTCCAGAGGAACGGAAACCTGCGTTGAAGCGGTGGCGAACTGGCGCATGAAACTAGGACTTGTTGCTAGCCTTGCCATCCCTTGTTGAGGTCACTCTGAACAGCTCCTGCAGCCCCTATGCCTTTATCCAGCATGGTCTACAGTCTGACAACCTTTTCCCACTTTAATTTGTTTACTGGCCTGTCAAGGGTGTGGGTTTACACTTTTTCTTACCCTAGATCGTTGTTCTTATTGTGGGGATCTCTTGAATCTCCAGTGTGATTCGACCCCATCACGTGCTGTTCTTTGACTGTGTTTATAAGGCGCAAAAAGCAGCTGTATTTATTTCCATAGTACTTTGCATTCCGCAGCGACTGACTTAATTGCCTAAGTTGGTCGTTGGGAAGTCTGATTTTTCTTTCGTTTTCAGTGTTGGGCACATGCTACATACAGCATTGTTCTAAGACACAGTTTACTAGCCAAGGCTGAATGAACAAATCTTATAAGAGGGGCCACCTGCAGGGCTGAAAAAAGACCTCGTTCAGACAACCATGCATGGGATTTGTTGGTCAAGGCTCCTGAACAGATTGCATTGACTACCACGTACGTTGGATAGGAAAAATTCGAACTCGGATAAAGATCTGCAAAATGAATTCGACAAATTTATAAATGTACCACCTAGACGATGATGCTAATAAACAGTGGACTTTTTCAGTGTGATGAAGTAATCGGTATCGTAGATCTCCACCATTCTAACCGTCGGTGTTGATTTCTTTTGTGTCAGATGTGCTGGCGTCCAGAACATCGAAATGAAGAACATTCTTAACCACTTGCCTGCGTACTGTGTGGGACGTAGCAACCAACAAACACGGATTCAAGACAGCACTTAGAGTAATGAATAGGATACCAATTTGCTGGGCCACAGAACCCATCACTGTGCGAACGACGCCTGTACTCCCAAGAATGTACCTGATGGCTTCGTACAGATGAAGTACAACAAGGAAACCTGCCATCAGTGACGTTGTGAGGATCAACCGTCTAACATTTTTTCGAGCAATCTGGCCAGTTTGTTGGTCAACATCCGGCTTACGTATCACATATACAACGTATCCATGAGCGCTAATCATAATAAATGCAGGCAGTAAGTAGTTCAGTAACATCCACAGATACGATTGTACCTCAAAGAACTGTTCAGTAGTGGGTCCATCGATAGCAAACGCGGAGGCACATCGGTTTGATTGGTATCGGCGCAGGAAAAAATTAGGAACGAACAAGAACAAAGTCACTGCCACTTCGTATAAGAAGCATCCAAAAATTAGTTGTGTCTGGTGGGATTTATATTTAGTTGGAAAACAAACGGCGTAGAACCGGTCGAACGATATGCATGTCAAATTTTGCACACTTGCCACGACTCCCAACCAAAACAAATTGTCCATGGACCACAGATAGCAAAGCACCTCGTCCAAGACAACTAAACCTGTGTCGATTTGCATTCCAGCGAGCTTGTATATGAATATAATGAAACAAGTGTATGCGTCAACTACACTTTGAGTTCGAAGTAGCAAGGTGGTGAGACGCGAACTGATGCTGCATCGACACAGAACATATAACTGAATAATGTTTAGGATCGTTCCAACAAAACCGAGGTTGGAAATCAGCAAGCGTACCACAAATTCACCTTGATCCATCCCCATAGGTTTTCACCTCATTACCTTGTTTACCACAGGTCATGTGTTTATTACAGAATTTTGTATACCCAAAATGAACATGATTGGATGGTAGGCGTCTGTTTCCATTTTGGAGCCCTATCAAGCTATGGCAGCGTAATGTGATACGCCAATTGAAATGATGGTTACTTTTCACCCCCCCCCCCCAATTAAAATGCTTGAAATTTGCCATGGCACCTGTGCTTATCTCGTTTCAGAACATTGCCTAAGTAATGAATGAACATATTTTCCATGGAAATTCCATGACCAGTTAATCTGGGCCGGCTGTTAGATGAAAAGCCTCTGATTCATCTTTTTCCACATGAAACGCATAAGCCTTGCACGAAAGCTCGAAAGTTCGATTGTCTAAATCTATTAATGCTACGCAATTAACACTTGACTATTAGTCATCAAACCAATTCTATTTTCTCCAATGCTAGAGGACATATTTTGTGTGCGTATTCAAGGGCGCGAGTAGGTTTCAGCAATACTGAGTGCAGTGGGCCTAACTGGGTTCTGTCAACTGTCTATCCTCGTACAATCTGTCCCTAATATGAGTGTGTAAGATACTAGAAAATTTCTGACCAGGAATGCAACTTTTCAAAGATAAGATGTAGGTGCCTGCACAATTTGTGAGCGTTGCGTTCACATCGGTTTTATTTGAAAAGCCTCCTTTCTGCCCTAATGAAATCACTCTGGGAAGTTCAAATAATGGAAGAATTGCTTAAATTGATTCTTGTTCTTACTACAGCTCATATGTCATGCATATGACATGCATTTCGGAGAGCCTCGGACATCTAACAGCAGATGTAAGTTTGCTATCACTACTCCGACAGTCCAGGATAAGAGGGAAACAGTCACAATTGATTGATATGATTAGTATGCCGAAGGCCCCGATCGACGACCCGGTAATCGTCCAAGCTGTGCCAATAGAGTGCCCCGCCTGTCAGGACTTCCTGCTCATAGCCTTTTCTCTATTGCGTCAATGGGACTGTATTAGGAAGTCTTCTCATCAAGAGCATTAAAGGCACCTACAGAGCACTCTGTTAACAAGTCCGTTACTTGCTGAAACTTTTACGCCTGTTATTGAAAGCAGTTGAATTATTTACAATTCAGAACTTTACCATCTAACCATTCCAAAACAGTTGTTCAGAAGGCTTTAAATAACCGTGGCGTCACATGACTGAGAAGTCCTGACAGGCACAACATGGATGATTACCGGGTTAACGACTGGTGTCAAAAAATGATCACATTAGTAAAACTTGAATCCTTTCCCCGGCTCAGACTTCTAATGGGGGGCCTCTGAAGGAGCGATAACACGTTCGGCTATGTTGTAAGCTATCCGAGGCCCAATTACCGACAGGGCTAGGAAGATGCGTCACTTAATACCACTAATGAGAATGAAACTCGAATTCAGTGAACTTTCTTTTTGGTGTAAATTAATCAGAGGCGTCAAGACTGTTCAGAAGAAAACGATATAAATGTTTCGAAACTAACAAACTATATTTTTAATGTACTACTGCATCTGCAAACTAATTTGCTTCTTTCGAGAGACTCACCTGGAATCAGATGAGTGTATATTCGCTAATTTCGTGCAATTTGGTTTCAAGTAGAACATAAGGTTGACGGAAACCCGGGGACTGCGTCTACTTGATGAGCCCCAAGAAGGGCGAAACCGGTCGTGGGCTGTCGATGGATTTTCAGCAACCTTATGAGTAGTACATTACAAATATACATGTATCGCGATATTTCAAATATCGTAGCGACTGAAGCATAAGGCGGCCTGGTGCAGCACATTCAGTTGCCTGAGAACATCATAAACGAGAGATTCAGCTGGGTTCCAGGTGAGTCTCTCGAAAGAAGCAAATTAGTTTGCAGATGAGTGTATATTAGCTAACATGAACTAGTTTTGGTCAGTGGCAGTAGTCTTGTGGCCAGAAGATGGCCAAGATACTCGAGTTATACAACTGCCTGTATGTTTGGGAAAATAGTCAATTGCCAAAGGACGGGAGCTAATCGTGCGCTGAAAATAAACTTATGATTTACCGGAGTTAGAAAAATTCTCAATGAAACAAAGTTTATTAACCAGCATTCGGGTAACAATGGCTGCATTCGTGACTCGGGCAAATTTCGGATGTCCAGTTTTACCCTTCGGGCTGGTGTGCTTGCCCGAACGCCTAATTTGCAGGGCGGCATGCACACACTTTTTAATTTTAGGCCGCTTCTTATGGGGAATTTCGGTAATTTAATGCTGAATGCTGATTGAAATCGATCAGCGTTCGGTCGATCTCGGCCCATCCATTCATCCACAATAGGAATAACAGCAGGTGCTCACTGACGCATACCTTTGTGCATTGCAGAACACTGTTGTTTGTTTGAGCGTCTTCAAAGGTAAAAATGGAAGCGATGCTCCGGTGTGAAGCAGTTAAATCAGTTTGTCTTGACATTAAATGCAGGGATAGCTTTGATATTCTAAGTAAGCCTTATCTGTCATTCATCGACTCGAATGATGAAACTCACAATTGTAATACACTTGGCATGTTACAGGGAGGCTGACTTGTTTATTTAATTATTCATATTGAATATTGACTATTTTTCAAGACAATTTTCCTACCGGCGTTATGTCAACACTTAATCTATGTGGTGTGAAGCTCCTAGAAAACAAAGGTTAGTTTGAAAGCTGCCTTCGCACTCATCTGATTTTCTAGGTTTATTAACTGACACGCATTCGTAAAAACTGAGACGGTTTATCCGGTTCACTCTTTGCAGAAGATGCATGACAGGTTCAACCAAACTAATATGCATGAGTCGAAAAGGTCGTTAATTAAATAATAACCTTCGAATTATACACATATAATGTTCTTCTCCAGCTGAATGTGCTGCACCAGGCCGCCTCATGTTTTAATTGGTACAATAGTCGAGAAATTGTAGTTCACTTTTTTGGTGTAACACTACCCATGAAATTGCTGAAAACACTTCGACTACCCGCGACCCTTTTCGCCCTTCTTGGGGATTATCTGAATGGCTCAGTCCCCGAGTTTTCCGCAACTCACTCAACCATGTCTGCAGCAATTTATCTAGGTGCTCAACAATCTGAACACCGGTAGAATAATGTGCTACTTCAACAATAGGATTCCAACTGCGCCACACGCTCAAACAGATCTGTTGGTAGTGGGAATTCACCATGTCGTTAAGTTCTCCAATTAGCAAGGCATCCCACCCACATTTGAAAAGATGCTGCGGTACGGTCTATCAAAGTATAATGAATTCCAAATTTCTCTTCAGTTTCTATGAACTCCTGAGAAGAATCTTTGCGACTTCTCTTGAGTGAAAATTCGGTGATATTTAACAGTGCTTCAAATCTTGACGAAGCGTGAACCGTTGTCCAGCAATCAATCTATTGAGTGTTATCAACTTTTCCAAAAACTATGACTACTCAACTTTTTCCAAGCGCTTTCCACTTGACCGAACAAAGGTACGGACTCCATGTTCGAAAAATGCCAACCGAGTACGTTCGATTGGCGGCACTCGAGGCGAAATGGGAGAACCATCACATATTCAACATTGGATGCCTTAAGCATAACAATATTCCCTAATCCATGGTTGTAAAACCACCGGGTAAGTCAATTGTTTCTGCTAAAATTGCCTTGTCAGTAGCCAAGCCTTTCTTTAAACAGAGGATTTACCTAACAATTCAGCAATTAACGGATGTACGTCGCCACGCCAGTCGAGATCTTCAGACCGCAGTTTCAACCGCCAAGTTCCAAATGCTCAAGACCAAATCCACAGAAGTAAAGCTTACGCGGGGCCGGTAATACAAGGATAGGCAGATACGTAAATTTGACCAACTGCTTTCGATGACCCAGGACTCTATAAAGGTCACAGAAAAGACGAAACCATCCAACAATTTCTCCAGTGCAGTTAGCTTGCCAGATAGATCACTGAGTGAAGAAGAACGTTGTTTGTTAAAAAAGGGACTAACCTTCGCTGTGAGCAAAAAAACAACAAGAGCGGTGGAAATAATCCCCAGTGTCGGATCGGTGTTCCAAAGATCTTCTTTAGCAGAAGCTGAGAAGCTACGAGTACAACCGGTCACGGTCCTAAAATTCCAACAGCCGGGAACTCCGAATATTGCATCATCAGAGCAGAAAGCGCTGAACACACAGAGACAGGTAGATGGTATTGTCAGTACCAAGGCCGATAAAGGTGAAGCCACAGTAGCACTGAACAAAAGCGACTTCAAAAGTCAGGCAACACCTAGTCGATGAGCCCTATCAACAACTTATCGGTAGCAGTATTATTTAAATAACGAATGAGAGAGAGGTTAAAGTTGGTAGATATTTAAGATCCGTAATAAACCATTTAGGGCAAGGTAAGTGGTATCACTTGTACCAAAAAGGTGTCATTCAACGACTCTACGGACTGACAAAAATCCACAAGGCCAATAGTGGATGGTATAGGCTCGCCATCACATTAGCTAGCCCTATTGTTGGCTGGTATGCTGAAAGCACTCACGGGAAAATCAGGCACCCTCATTAGGAATTCGTACGACTTTGACATTAAGGCCGCATGGCTTCCTTTGGAGATGGACGAAGTCCTCGTGAGTTTCGACGTAATCTCACTGTTCACAAACATTCCTAGGGAAGATGCTCTGGAGGTAACTAAGAGGTTGTTAGTGGCAGACACGACACTTTGGGGACGGACACAGCTCTCGGTGGATAAAATAGGTGAGGAGATTAAAGTGTATTTGAATCTCGATCAGACTGTTTTGACACAACTGTTTACTCATAAGAACTGGGTCTTGCAATGGATCTCCAATGTTCCCAGTTTTAGTTTCGAACAAATGGCCTTGGCCGAATATCACCGAAAGGTTTTTGGCGTTATGTTGAAGAGGCCTTTATTGCAATCAAATGTGATAACATGAACAGCTTCCACCACCATCTCAATAGGTTAAATCCACACATCAAGTTTAGAATGGAGATGGAGTA